TGAACATGCCCTCAGACACCGTTTCCTGCAAGATGTTGCAGGAGGCCCCCGTTACCGGGGTCTCTCGGGCTTAACAGGTTAATACTCCTACTGGTGTCTTGTAATCCCGTGTGAGATGGGACAAATGTTTGGCATGAAATAGAAATAAAAAATAAATGAAAGTAACATATAGGGATGTGCTTATGTTAAAACGGCAAGACACTTACAGGGTCTTTGAACTGCTCACTGACTGAGCGGATGACGGGCAGGGTCTCCTCCAGCTTAGAGGCCAGCTGATCAGCGTTCATGTCACCCAGACCGAGCATGGTACACATCTACAACACGGAGAGAGAAACAGAGAAGATGTATATCAATGGGATTGAATCATAGGTCATATTTCATGTATATAACAAATGAACCATTCTGCATTACTTTAAATATTTGCTCTAACGGCCCGTCTACACTACAGGCATAAAAAAATCTTGAAGCTGGGCATGTCTGAAGCTTGGCGATTTTTTAGCGAGCAACACGACCAACAACCAATCACATGAATCTCCCGCCCCCGACATACAAAGCAATAGCAATGTTAAAACGAAGTAAACTGGATATAAACTCTCCAAACAGGCGAAAAACCTACCAGTTTCACCCACTGTCTCTGCCACCTCCCTCCATGCTTGGTTCCTCCGGTTTGTATCCCGGTAAATAGTTCTGGTCGTAAAGAACCGGGTGATTTGCTACCGTAATATCTCGTTTGGAATATGAGGAAATGAACTGCGGTCTGGCTCTCCCAGCTTGCACGCAGTTTGATTGGCTAGCGCTTGCACTGGCGGGATTTGCATAAACAAGTTTGCATAAACGGGATTTGATTGGCTGATACCAAGCATCGAGCCTCAAAAGTTGAACATTGTTCAACTTTTGATGCCGATAGATGCTCGTGATGCTTGCAAAGCCATGCTCCCCACAATGCAGTTCGGCGAAGATTAAAAATCTTCTACGTCACCCCATTCAAGTGAATGGGCAAAGCGTTGAAAGCATTTTTCGATGCCTGTAGTGTAGACAGGCCGTAAGGCCCGGAAGGCAAAAACGTCACCATTTCAATACTGCCGTAAATGCAAATGAAAAGCGTTCTTAAATGTTACTTGATAAAAGTTCAGTACTGTTCCCAACCTGATTATGTATATTTTGGAAACAGGTGGTAGTGGGATTAGCACAACGGAGAGGGCACATGTTTTTTTACCAGGGGAAAGACACAAGGTGGCCACAAAAAAGACACAATAGTAAAAAACTGTTGTCATTGTACCTTATGATATTGGAAAATTGGGATTAACTGCACATAAACAGCCGTCTTGCTTGAACTTTGGACATTTTCCCCTACATAAGATTCACTAGCTGGTGCCTAAGAGACAGTTGTATTTTTGAGAGAATTTTCAGTTTCATTTCTTTATAATTTTGCAGCTACGGCATTTAAACTTAAAAAAAAGAATCTGTAAATAACCACAACCAATGACCGACTCACCTGGGAGATGAAGGGGCTGATCTGGTTCTTTATCTGCATGAGGCGGCCCAGACCACGCTCCACAATGGTGGGGAAGTTGAGCAGCCGCAGTGTGTGACCGGTGGGTGCCGTGTCGAACACAACCACTGAGAAGTTCATTCCTTTCACTAACCTGGGAGACAGGAAGACGTGAGTTAGTTAAACATTTTTCGACCAGTTTTTTTTATTAGCTCACTGTGAAAAGTTATTCCAGAAAACTACTAACAAAAAGAGAACAGGCTTTCCAGTGAGCATGTGACTTACCTCATGACCTCAGCATAGCTCATGGCCTCGTCGATGCCGGGGAAGGCGCTCATGGCCTCCTGCATCATTTTCTTACCCATGCTGAGCATGTTGTCCTCCTCAAAGAACTCGTCTGGCAGCTCTGCAACACCCAGGCTCGGGTCAATCTCCTACACTCACACAAAACAAATGAAAAAAATAAATCAGCATATTACACACCGAGGGGCTGGGAAACTGCAAATTATTTCAGGGCTTCGGGGCAATTCTGTTTTTTTACACAATTAGGGTTTGTTTCCCAGATGTGGAATAAGCCTTGTGACACTATAAAAATAGTTAAGTCATGCTCTTGTTTTTATTTTTACATAAACAGCCTAAATTGAGTTTTGATCCTTTATACTTGTCAAACTTTTGTTGAGAGTTTTGAGATTATGCACAAAAAAAGAAAGAAGAACTATACATTTTCACATGTCATGGCAATTAAACCACAGGTGTAAATAATACAATTAATGATGGCTAAATTGAATTTAGCTGCTTTAGACCCCGTTTACACGAGAACAAAACGGGTTGGATCCGCATAGTTTCTCTTGCGTATAGCCCTTTTCATTCACAAGGCCGTAACAAAACGATAGAAACGGGCCACACAAACGATAACGGGTCCCAAGGTGGATAGATTTGCAAACAAAACGCTCTGGGGGGTCAAACGGCTCCGTGTAATCGCCTCTATAAGATCATTTCCCGATAGATGAAGCCATAGCCCCGCCTCTTCCCACCTCTGCTGCTCACTGCTGTAGCATGGTCAGTAGCTACTGCTAGTGCTACAGCTACTGACCATGCTACAGATGTTAGTACAACATCTAAAGCTCGACCATGCATGCTACAGATGTTAGTGCAAAATCTACAGCTCCTCTACCACAACCATCAGCAACATGTGGACATGGAGAATTACATGAACTACTACATGTTGCTAAATCCACTGCAGGGCATAAACAGAAGGGCAACCATGGCAACCATGCTTGTGATCTTCTTCGCTGCTTTTGGTGTATTTTGTGGCGGAAGTTACAGCTGCAGTTACAGGCCCGGCATATGTACTACAGTGTGTCCAGCGCTTTCGAGCGGTCTCGTGTGGAAGTTATAATAATAATAAATGGGATTTATATAGCGTTTTTCTAGACCCAAAGACGCTTTACATTACGAGTAAGGTTGACAAACAAAACAAGAACAAAAACACAAACAAAAACAAAACCAAAACAGAAAAGCAGTCAGGAGGATGTTGGTTCAGAGGGGGGAGGGGCGGGTTTAAGGATAAGCAGAGTTGAAGAGGTGGGTTTTGAGACGGGACTGGAACAAGGTGAGGGAATCAGACTCACGGAGGTCTTGGGGGAGGGAGTTCCAGAGCTTCGGGGCTGCCACAGAGAAGGCTCTGTCCCCGAAGCTCCGGAGTTTGGCCTTGGGGATTGAAAGCAAACCGCCTGAGGTGGATCTGAGGGACTGGGGTGGTTGGTAGAGGATGAGGAGGTCAGTGAGGTAGGGGGGGGCCAGATGGTGGAGGGCTTTATAGGTGAGGACCAGGAGTTTGTAGTGAATGCGGTGTGAGACGGGAAGCCAGTGGAGTTCTTTGAGGACCGGGGTGATGTGATGCCATGATTTGGTGTGGGTGAGGAGTCTGGCGGCTGCGTTCTGGACACGCTGGAGTCTGTTGAGGGATGTTGTGCTGATGCCGAAGAGGAGTGAGTTGCAATAGTCAAGGCGGGAGGAGATGAAGGCGTGAATGAGTCGCTCAGCTGCGGGGCGGGTGAGAGAGGGACGGAGTTTGGCAATATTGCGGAGGTGGAAAAATGAGGTTTTTACAACTTGGCGGATGTGGGGGTCGAGGGAGAGGGTGGGGTCGAATATCACGCCAAGGTTGCGTGCCTGGGTGGAGGGGGAAACAGGGGTGCCATCGATGGTGAGTGTCAGGTTGGGGGTTTTGCTGAGGGTGGATTTGGAGCCGATGAGGAGGAGTTCAGTTTTATTGCTGTTGAGTTTGAGGAAGTTGTGTTGCATCCAGGATTTTATTGCAGTCAGACAGGATTCGATGTGTGTGAGAGGGGGGTTGTGGGGGGATTTGGTGCTGAGGTAGATCTGTGTGTCGTCAGCATAGCAGTGAAAGTCCAGGTTGTGATGGCGGAGAATCTGACCAAGGGGGAGGATGTAGATGATGAAGAGGAGGGGGCCGAGTACTGAACCTTGGGGAACACCTTGGGTGACTGAAGCTGTGGTAGAGGAGTGATTGTTGAGGGAGATAAAGTGGGATCTGTCGGAGAGGTAGGACTGGAGCCACCTGAGTGCAGTACCTTCGATACCGATATCCCGGAGTCGGGTAAGCAGGATGGTGTGGCTCACGGTATCGAAGGCTGCACTCAGGTCAAGGAGGATGAGGATGTTGAGGGAACCGGTGTCAGCAGAGGTGAGGAGGGAATTGAGGACTTTGATGAGTGCCGTTTCTGTGCTGTGGTGAGGACGAAAACCAGACTGAAGGGGTTCAAAAAGGTCATTTGTTTGGAGATGGCGGTGGATTTGTTTGGAGATGATGCGTTCTATTGTTTTAGAGAGAAAGGGGAGGTTGGAGATGGGGCGGTAATTACTGAGGGAGGAGGGATCCAGACCGGGTTTCTTGAGGATGGGAGTGACAGCGGCAGTTTTGAAGGCAGAGGGAACGGTTCCTTGGGACAGGGAGGAGTTGAAAAAGTTGACAAGGTAAGGGCAGAGGACGGGGAGGCAGGACTTCAGAAGAGGGGTGGGTAGAGGGTCAAGCGAGCAGGTTGTGGGTTTGGAGGAGCTGATCAGTTGGAGTATTTCAGGGGGGGTAACCAGAGTGAACTGGGAGAGAATGCCGTGGGGAGGAGGGCTCGGGAGGTCAAGGGAGATGGAGGGAGGAATTGTGGCGGTGGATGTTGGGGGAGATGTTTGTGTGTCAGATGCAGCGGATAGGGAGTGATTAATGGCAGTGATTTTGTCAGAGAAAAACTGGAGGAATGAACTGCATAGAGTGGAAGTGGAGGAAGAGAGGGTGTCAGCACGGGGTTTGAGTAGCTTGTTGACGGTGGAGAAGAGGGTCCTGGGGTTACGGGAGGGGTCGATGAAGATGGTGGAGAGGTAAGCAGATTTTGCGGCAGTGAGAGCGTCTCTGTAGGTAGTGAGATGGAGTTTGTAGGATTCATGGTGAACTGTGAGGGATGATTTCATGGTTAGGCGTTCGAGCTGGCGGCCGGTTTGCTTCAGTTTACGGAGTGCAGGGGTGAACCAGGGTGAGGAGGTTTTAAAAGTGACATTTTTCCTTTTGAGGGGGGCCAAGCTATTGAGGGAGGCGAGTAGGGTTGAATTAAGGTGGTTGAGTTGATCATCGGGTGAGCTGAGGTTCGAGTCCAGGGGGAGAGTAGAGGATAGCAGGTCGGAGAGGTGCTGGGGATCGATAGAGCGTAAATTACGGAAAGTGATTACAGAAAGTTACAGCGGCAGTTACAGGCCCGGCATATGTACTACAGCGTGTCCAGCGCTTTCGAGCGGTCTCGTGTGGAAGTACAGCGCCACTTACAGTCCCGGCATATGTACTACAGCGTTTGAATACGTGTGAACGGAAGACTTTTTTGAAAAAGCATTCTGTGCATAAACGCAAACGCTCCCGTGTGAGCAGCACCTTAGACACTGGTGCTGTGTTTTCATGCCCTTGTTAATGTTATTACTAACACCTGTGCCATTTGAGTGACTCCAATATGATGTTTTTAACTTTAAAATGTATTATGTTGGCATCCTATTGTATTATTAAAACGCAATGTTAAGAGTTTTCTCACATTAACTAGCATCCGACAGGTGAATGTTCACGAACATGCATGTTGTTAAGCTTACAGACAATTAAAATGTAACAACTACTAATTAATGTAATTAGTTACACCTGTGCTTTTTCGTCTTTGACAAATTAAACTGCTTCGTGCTTTTGGAACAGGTGAAACCAATTTAAGCTTGTCTGTAGCGTTTTCATGTGCCACTTACCATTGCAAAGAGGTTTTCATAGCCCATGACCTTAGTGGGCACCTTTGAAAACTTCTGGTCAAAAGCATCAGAGATGTTATGAGCAGGATCGGTGGAGATGATGAGGACACTTTCCCTGACAGCAGCGAGCTGGACCGCCAAGCTGCAGCTGAAAAAACGACCCAGGAGAGAGGTAAGTATGCTGTTTGTTCCCATATCTGAAAAGATGCAGTGAACATGTAACAACAAAATATTGATATGTTTGTATTCGAGGCCATAACCGAACACTTGCGTCTTGTATTTCTGTTTTTTTTTTTGTAATGCTACACCATTTTTAAAGCCTCACCCAATGACTCCAATGTTAAAAATATGCGTAATGGTGGAGCTGCCCTGACGGCTAACGCCAGATAGCCAGTGTAAGCATTAGCTAAATTGCACGATAACCAAGGTAAACCGTTGAAAAAACACCAGGCAGAAGATATCAAACAGGCTGTAGGTGTCATCTTACGAATCCAAAGGCAAACGATTTAAAGAAGTGATGAGTAAATGTGTCAGTTGGCTAATGTTAGCTGGTGACAGTGCTAGACAGCGTTCCACTAACGTCACCCGGCTAATTGACAACTAGCTTGGCCTAACCGTCTTAATATGTTACGGCAATGACATATGCTATTACATCTATATCCGGTATTGTATCTCTTATTAAAGTGGTGTTGTTATAAAAAGCTTCTTAATCATTCACTAAGAGTTAGCCACGTCAAATTATGGTTGCGGCTAATCTCAGCTAGCTAGCTATGTTAGCATACGACGTAGCGTGAGTTAATATCAGCAGGCGGAATTAGCATTTTCCTTCAACTGACCTGCATGTCGTTTTACCCACACCACCCTTTCCACCCACAAATATCCATTTTAAAGACTTCTGCTCGATGATGTTCTTCAGTGTCGGCTCCAACGGCTCGACATCAGGCGCATCTTCAAACTCGTCTTCCAATGAAGCTGCCATCTTGTCTGTGTACACTGTAGCGAACAGTGACATCGAGGGGGGATGTACCACACTGCTGCCTTCGCGGCTCCTCGGACAAACGCCGTGCAACAAAAGGTCTACAATGGAGAGCTAGTAGGTTACAATTAGTAACCTACTAGCTAATTAGTAGCTAGTAGGTTACTACTAGCTACAATTAACCTACTACCTAATTGTAGTAGGTTACAATTAGTAACCTACTAGCAACTGTGGGACATATTTTCTTCCAGTCGGACCTGTTCAACAAATGTGGCTTCCAAAAGGGTTGGCATCAATTCACCCTATTCATTTAATATCAATAAAAGCTGGAGTATTCTTTTTAAAGAAATACAAATGCGGAATTTCTGTTTCATGTTTTGATCTGGTTAAGCCCCACTTCACTGGATGGAGAACGAACTAACATGTTTTGCTCTCTCTCTCTCGCTATCAAATTAGTAGGACTGTACTATTTTAGTTATTTGTTTTTTGTTTTTTTGTTCAAAGCTTCTGTTTTCCAAATGATGTCTCTCATATTTGATAATGTCAGAACCCTAATAATAAAACATGTCATCAAAGTGATTCATCAGAATAAATGAATTGGTCTTTTTTATTTTATTTATTAAAATCAATTGGAGTAGTGAATCTTTAAAACATTTTGTCTTAACTTTTCTGTTCTAGAATATGTGGAACTGTTAGGATGACGCAAGTGGGAAACTATGGAACACAACTACAACTTGAATGTAATTCTACTAGTTTAATACTATTAATTGAATCTTTATCCACAACTACTGTGCCGAAATCTGGGTTTTAAAAAAGATATATTGTTGTGATGCATATGAATATTTTTAAATGATGCTGTAAAATCCTACACAACAGAAATGTGTTGCAGCTTTTCATATCCTAAGTAGCCTGGTGTTAATTGTGGGGTTTTTTTCTCGCCTAGGTGACGCTGGACCTTCACAATAGTCAACAGAAGTTTGGACGATTTCTGCGTTCAGCTCTAGATATTCTCTCTCAGCTGAGGGATGTCTAAAAAGCATGATCTGTTTGGTATTTTGAGCAAAACACATCACAGAGGTTTTTTATATATCTGACTCCCATAAATATGCCTAAAAATAGCATGATAGGAGATATTCAATGACATCAGCAAGGTAAAGATATTTGAAACAGCTCTGTTGTAAATCAGACGTTGTTAGTGTTCATTAGAAGAAGCAATAAGGATATGCATTTGTTTTATCCATATAAGCCAATGTTTCAACACTGTTGTTGTTAATAAAATGGTGTGTGTGTGTGTGTGTGTGAACATTGAGCAGTGTGCTGCGACCGCTACGACTCCACACCTGCTCCACACAGAGGCCCTGTCTCAGGTCGACTATTTTCATTTCCTCGGTCCTCGGTCTCACC